TTTTTAAATTTGAAAGTTATGCTCAGAAAAACAACAATAATTTTCGTGTAATCTCACTACCAAATTTGGTAATGATTTTTTTTAATGTTGGTTAAACTTTTTAGTCTCAATTTCTCAAGTGTATAACAAAATTCGGACTTTTCAAAATGCTAAGGCTCAGCCAATTTTCAGTTTAAGAAAAAACCAGCTGATAAGTTTTGAAGCTTGAGTCATGGACAATAAAACTGTTGGTTAAATTTTTTAAAATGAGATGATTTTTTTTTGTTTTAGCATTTTGAAGTTGACCAATTGTTATTATAAGCAATTAATGATTATAAATGATTATCTCTGCAATTTTATAATAAATTTTCTACACATGATCTGCGAAACACAAATTAATATTAATATTATTAATAAAAATCTATAAAAAATCCAACAAAAAAATTAAAACAATTATTTGAAATAAATGATAATTTCTATTAGTGTTCCATGTCGCAATCCAAAAAAGGAAACAAAATAGTTGTAAAGGTGGTTGCAACCAATCAATGAAGAAAATCTGGATGAAGAAGACATTGAAGAGACATTGAAGAGACATCTCCTATTTCAAGTCAAGATGCTTTATTGGCTATTGAAAAGGTAAACTTGTTTTTTGAACAACAGTTTAAAGAATTTACAATGAGGAATTGAAATGTCAAAAAGAAAATTAAAAAATAGAATTCAATCAAACAAAATACTGTTTTTTTAAATATTAGTATTGAATAATATTTTTTATGTAAATAATAACAAAAATTTTTTCATTCCACATGACTTAATGTAATACTACTAGTGAAATTCCAGTTCAAAGGAAAATCAGTGATCATCCTGAATCAAGTAGATATTTGAACATTAATGACAGAGAAATTTTGAGGACAAAGAGAACATTGATTTAGGAGATGAATTTCTACCACTATCAGAAGAGGATATTTTAATATTTAGCACTAAACCTAAGAAAAAAACCAATAATAATAATAATAAATTATTTGAGAAGAATACTGATGGTGAACAAAGAAAAAGAACTTATTGAAATAGTAATGAAAACATTTTCATTGTTTATTTATTTAATTTCTATCATTGATTTCTATTTATTTCTTATGGGAATGATTAGTGGTTGGTATTTAAATATGCTGAAAATAGAGATTTAGATAATAATTTAACAAAAAATTTTAAAGGAATTACTTGAAAAAATAAGATTAAATAACTTTATTTGATTTCAGAAAGATAAACTTTTAATAGTTTCATGGATATTTAATAAAATGACTATATTTTTAATTACAAATGAATTGATTGATGAGAAAAATTACATTCATCATAACTTGCACAGTGGTAATAATTTTTCATACTTTCATTATGAATGTGAAAAATGCTTCACATGTGTCCAAAAAAAGTTAAAATATTAACAAATGGAACATTATAAAACTGTTAAATTATAATTACAATGCAATTGTGATAATAATGATTAAATTTTGATCCCTTTAATCCTTTGTAATACCAATGTTCACTTTGTCTGGTTATGTTGCAGTATGCCCCATATTATCATATTTTTTAGAGGTAGTAGATACATACATAAATATATGTTATAATAGGTTGAATTCAAACTGGAGGTATGAGGACCACTAAACCTTATCAAAGTATTTTGCTATTAAACATTGGCAAAAAATAATTATAGATAGTTGGACAAATTTGTTCTTTCAGCAGCTACATTCATCATCAACCAAAAAAATTGGAATCTTCAAATAATAATGTAGGTACAATTATATATTTTTTTATGGCTGCAATGTACTAATCTAGAAAAAAATATAAATGGTTATCGATGAATCTAACAGATTTGTTAATAATGATGATGATAGTGATGAAAAAGATAGAGAAGTAAATCAATAGTTTTATATTTAAATAAATATTATTATAACAAATACAGAAGTTGTAGCAGAAGATAAATTTTCCTAATTTGGTTTCCATTCATCAATGAATAATCATTCACTGAATAGTTAATTAATGATCAAATGAATATCTGAATACTTTAATGATTACCCGGATGCACCCAACCCCTACACTAATTTATTATTGGTTAAAATCATGCATAAACAATAACAATTATGATCTAAATTTTTTTTTAAAAAAATGTCAACATACAAAAAAGTTGAAAACAATTTAAATGATGCTAAGAAGAAGCACAAAGAGGTGATTGAAAAGTTGGAAAAATGGGAGGAAGAGTGGAAAAATACGTTAGATGGCTTGATGAGAGGGAAGGTGGAGGAAGATTACATTGGGGAAAAGGAGGGGTTAGAGAAGGAAAAAGAAAAGTTGGAGGAAGGAGAGACAATTAGGAGTAAAAAGTTTTGGAGTGGAGTGAAATATTACTGAAGAAAATAGGTGAAGAAGAAGGTAATAAAAAAATTGCACAAATTGCATAAAAAATTATTTTCCATTCATTCCATTGTTATTTCATTTGTTTATTTATCTCTTTGGTTATTATTGTAATTAAATATGGTATATCATTTGTTTGTGTGGTTCCCTTAGGAATGCAAGGTAAGCATGTATTATCAATTTATCTTTTTTTCTGTTCACAATTTCAAAACTTTCTCTTTCTTTTACATCATTTGTCTATATAATACTACTCAATAGATGATGATGAATTTAAAAAATTACAAAAACATGATTTCTTGTCACCATTCATCTTAAATGTTAATAGGTAATGACCACTAAAAAAATCTTTTGATGTCCTACCATGATGCTAAGAGAGCTAAGAGATATGTATTTATTTTAGCGTAAAGTTTGGTACTAAGGAATTGGACCTTAATAACATTCAACATGACTTACATAATAACAAACCAATAGAGAAAAGTATAAATGCTTTTTCTGATACTGCAGACTTAACTGATTTTTATTCAAAGCTAATTAGGCATTGTAAGATTGGAATTAAGGTGAAATCAATGCCATTATATGATATGTAAATTTCTTAGGATGATGTGAAAATAAGTTACTGATATGGCATATAAATATATGCTTTTGCAGATTGAAAATACATATGTTGATAAATTAAAGAATTATTGGTGATCAATGGGGCAAAAATGGTAAAAAATCGTCAGTTGACAATGTTTAACAAATAATAAGGCATGATGTTTTGGTATTACAAACTTTATTCTTTTTATGTATGTATAAAGTAAATCTCATAGATTATTGTATCAAAATATTAAAGGGCTTGGAATGTTTCTTGAAAATGTTTATATGTAGGAAGCTGAGATTTAAAAAAGTTCATAACATATAAAAATTTGGAATTTTTTAATTTTCAGCCAACACTATTAAGTATTCTGACAGAGCTATACTTTTTTTTTATTGGTTTATTAACAAAAAAACTTTATTTTACCAAATGAACCACATGTTGTTATAAGTCAAGTCAATAAAATAACTGCAAAAGAATTTTAAAGTAGTATTTAACAATCTTGAAAGAATTCTAAGGCTGTTATTTATACTTTTTGTGTATACATGAGAGTTAACATCTGAGGATGGTGAGATTTGGGAATTTTATTATTTCATTAATAACAATTATCCCCAAGATTTTATATGACATGTCTCTCATTAATAGACGGATCGTCAATTAATAACAATTTTGATGAGGAAGGTGAAGTGACAAATGTTGAGATTTTAAGTTATATTCTCTTACTTACAGAAGGAGAAGATTTGGCAAATTCTATCCAAGGAAAAAGTGGTTATAAAACAGATGTAGGTTTAAGTGGACTGGTTATTGATATTCCTTTGAACAAATCTAAATTTTATTGTGATGGTATGTTATTAAATATGGTTTATTTTTATATTTGACAATTTTACTCATTTACTCATTATTTTTTAAAAAAAAAAATTCAAGAAATGTTTAACTGGGATTGTAAAGAAATCCCTTTTCCTTACGTCAAAATACTAATTGTTTTAATTATTATTAAAAAATACAAGTTATTACGGAAGGCTTTCTTTTGCTACTCTTTCATAAACTTCTTTAATTACGGAATTTGCTTCTCATAAATAGCATCCTCTGCTTCTAAAACTTCCACTTTTTGGTTTAATTCTTTTTCTTTATTTTCACTAATATTCAATTTACCTTTCATTTCACCATTTATTTTTTTCCAATTCTTTTTGTGTTTTTTTAGAATTATTCTTTTGTATCTTTTTATACAAAAATGCATAATATAATATTACAATTAAATAAATAAATTATTATCAATCATAACAATATCTTAGAATTTCCCGGAAAGCTGCAGCACTTAATTTGTAACTCATATACATAAAGAAAATAATATAAATAATAATAATATAAGTAATATAAATGATAATATAAGTAATATAAATAAGTAATATAAATAATAAGTAATATAAATAATAAGTAATATAACAAATAATATAAGTAAAGTTGTAACGTTTCGTTTTAATTTAGCGCGTTACGCGTGAAATAAATTTCGTATTACATATTCGCAATTAAGAACGGTTACAGGGATGATAATAAAAAAATTTGCTTATAGTAAAATTTGAAAATGAACTATGGAGTTATAATCCTCAATTAGACTTATTAGTAATGAGGAAGCAAGATGATGAATACATTTATCCATGTATTTTAGGTGAAACAAAGTCAAATGAAAGTGACAGGTAAGCATTAAACATATACCAATGCTATCAACAGCTTTTTTTTACTTTGTTCATATTTGTTTCAACAATTTTTCAGATATATGAGTAAAATCAGCTTAAAAACCAGTAAATTGGTTTCAGAAGACTCAGAAGACTTACATCCTATAATATCAATTTATGTTGATCATAGTCTTTTTGAAGTGTACATAACATACTATAATGATATCTTGGTAATATACTACCATATCTTATAACTTATTATTTGTGTGATTCAATCATTCATTATGATATATTATTGGAAATGCAGAAAGATAACATGTATTTCAGATGCATATGGACAAGAAATTTAAAAGAGGATAGTGAATATGGATTCCAGCTAGCTCATATATTATATAATTATGGTAATAATTTCTCTGGAATGATTCAAATGAATGAGAATGGTGTAAGATAAGTTCAGTCAGTATTGAAACAAAGAAAAAAGCTCAAGTGTTGGTCTAGCTATCATACTAAGCAAAAAAATGAGCTTTCATTCTACAAAAACAGATAATTTATCAAATGTGCAAGGTGGACTAATGACAGGATTAGAATACCAAGAAGAGATGCACAAACAAATAGTAAGAGAAGAGCATATAAATGCATTAGAAAAACATGGATACTCAATGTTTTTATGGGAATTGATGAAGGTGAACTTATTCCGTTAGAGGTATAGTTATTTATGTCATATGGATTTGTTTGCAAAATAATCAATTCCTTATTCTCATTGTCTAAATTTCCTTATATAAATAGTATAGAAATAATATTGTTCCTAGTTGTTGTGAAAAGGATAACAAGTGTATAATAGCAAAATGTACTAATAAAAATAGTTGTGAATTACATTTACTGAAATATCTTAATTCTCATTTAAGAAAACATAAAGACAATCATACCATCAAACTTTTAGATATATTGGAATTTAAAGATGACGTTATTATGATCTTACCAAAATTTTGTATAAGTGGATAAAATTTAGTAAACAAGTTTTGGAGGTACATTTTCTATTATTGTCAATATATTATTCCTTCTAAAGAATTGATTAACTAATAACTGGTTTTTTTTAGGGTGTTGCATTTTTGCATCAAGTTGGCATTGCACATTGTGATCTGAATCCACGAAATATTACATGTGATGAAGAAGAACATTTGTAGATTATTGATTTTGATTTAGCAATATATTTTCTACCAATGTCAAAAAGTTTATTAAAGGATATCAAGGTATATTGCATCAGAAGTTAGTGATCATGTATATTATGATCCTTTTCTTGCTGATGTTTGGTCCGTTGGAAAAGTTATGCATATAATGGGACAGGTAAGCATTTTTTATATTATTGTTTTATTTATTATATCTTAATAAGTACTAACTATGAAATATTTTATCTAGTATTTGAAATTGCCAATAAGGTTTAAAAATTTTGTAGAATCTCTGTTGGTACCTGATTTTAAAAGACCAACATCAATTGAAGCATTTGAAAATTTTACATCATTATTATGAAGAAGTAAACAAATGCATTTAACAACAAAAATAATTGCACCCATATTAATAAAATCTTTATTTCTTTTTTACCGTGTGCTTTTAAAATTAAAGAAATAATGTTTTTACACTTTTGCATTTTTTTGGGTATTTTGAGATAAAAAAAAACAACTAGATCGTTCAGAAAATGTTTATTGTATAACTTTTCTTTGGGGAATAAACATTAATCTTTTGGCAATTTTAAAATAAAAATATTTTTATTGCTAATAATGTTTATGGCTATAATCGATTTTTGAATTTGGTTTACAATGTAATATATCAACTTAGAGTTGTGTTTTTAAATTATTAAAGGGAATTACAAAGTGAACATAAAATTATAAAATTATATATATAGGAATAGGTGTATATGAAAATTATTGAACAAGATAACAGATATGATGGTTCTAATGAATATCAAAAAGCAATTGATTTTTTAGAAAAAGGTTGTGATTGTGGATGCTCTTTAAGAATTCCCAGCCCTGTAAAAAATTTATTGCGTGATTATGCTCAGTGTTTTTCCGTTTATTATTATCAATAAATATATTTATAAAAATAACATGAATATGCAATTTTTATCAATTTCGTCAGACCAAAAAAAAAAAAAATACACATGTCAGTAAAGTGGGTGTTGGTAAAGTGTCCGGGTCCGGACTCTCCCCACTAAAATTTTCCCAATACCACTTTGGATGACAAGGTGGTAGACCATTCCCCTACATGGAAGGAAAGCTCAGATGGTTTTATTTTCCAACTCTGCCAAATCACTTGTGTAGCTTTCCCAAAATTTGATTCTTAAAAGTTTTATTTCTAAATGGTCTTAGTATTGTTATTGCTTGGTGATGCAATCATTTATTCGTGAATTAGATACAATAATGGAGACAAAGTCATTCACATTAAGGAAAGGATTAAAAAAAAATATTTTATTTATTTTGATTCAACAAAAAGAAATACATAATGATTTATATATATATGAATATTAAAATATTAAAAAAAGCAAGATAAAACTACCAGAGCAATTGTATTAAATCAGCATTTGCACATGATGGTAGAAGAAAAAACGAAGATGGTTGCAACGTTTGTCAGAATCAAATAATACTGACAGAGGATTCAAAACTTTCACCTTTACCAGTTATAACTCGCTGGAATAGTTGGTTTGATTTTGTATTTTAGTTAGATACTAATTTCTTACATTTAGTTTCATTTATTCCAAAGAAGTCATTAATTTCTGATGCACCAAAATCAATAGTGAAATTCTTTCAAATCCTCATGAAACTTTTTAGTGGGTGAAATTCTGATTGGCTAATTTGAATTTCACATATGTGAATTGCGAATTCACATAATTTCATTTTCACGTACAACAGTAACTTTAAATGTCAAAAGGTAACAGAATTTAAAAAAAAAATTTTTTCCTATTATTAATAAATAATAATTGATCCAAGGCTTAGAATTTTTAAAATTCGTGACAAGGCTATATCACCTTATGTTTCCCTTTTGCATTGAAAAATTTATCAAGAACTGGCGTTGAAAATCCTTCTTTAAATCAAAATATGATTAATTCATGTAGAATTCAAAATGCATTAGAAAAATCTTTAATACCATCATTTTCATTTTCTCAAGCCTTTAAACTTGCCTTTAACAAATTATGTAAACATGTATGCTAATAGACATTTGGCATTACCACCTTTTAAAGAATTCCAATGCTTTAATCCAAAATTTATTAGAGCTTCTTCATTTTTAAAAAATATTCATATATCAAGGAATTTATAAATCTAGAAAATGAATTGATTAATGAATGGAGGAAAATTAAATGTTCTAGAATTGCTTTATATATAGTCTCCAATGTCTGGGGTGGATGCAGATTAGAATGCTTAATGTTTTATATTATAACAAATAAAAATTGTTTATTATGATAAATTTATAAAGATGTGCTGATACACATGTAAACTCAATAAGTCGGATGCAGCAATCAATTGTTTAAAATACTTGATAATATAGATAAATGACCGACTTATTGAGTCTACATGTGTAATGATAAAGACATGATAAGAATAACAATGGGGCATGTTTTTTCTATTTGGTAAGATCAACATTTGTCCATTTCATTCTTTCATTTATTCTTGAAAGTTAACAATGAATCAAAGCTCTAAAAATAAAGAATTTGTAGATTATGTCAATTCATTGCCTGGAACTCAAATAAAAGAAAAACTTCGTTGGTATTGGTCAGATTTCACAAATCAAAAAGATTTTGATAATGCGGTGTATATTGATTGTATAAACTTTTGGAAGAAAATTTTAGACGAGTGTAGTAGAAGTAAATGGCTAGGCGAAGATGTTTTTTGCATAGAAATAAGCGACTCCACCAAAAAAATATTTGCAAGTTATAATGGACATGAACCTATTGGGATTCAATGTGTTATTGTATGTTTTATTCTTTTATTCTCATTTGGTTATTTATTGTTGTATTTTCATCTAAATTGTATTTTCTACTTATTTTCTAAAACAATAATTAGAAAGAAATGTATTTAGAATCAGAATTGATGCCTCTTAAAGAGTATTGTTCAACTTTTATTTCACAGGGTTGGTTAAGTTGGATATACACTAGGTTAGTATCACAACCAATAGCATGGACATTTCAAAATTTAACAGGATCAGAGCCTACTAATATTATTTCAGGAAAATGGGTGAAAATTGATAAACTGAAAGAATCATCAACCAAAATTATTCAACTTCATGAAAAAATTGCATTAAATCGGATTTCTGATAATCTTTATACACTTGCTACATTTAAGTCAGAATTTGCAGCTAAAGTAATTCCTGGTTCGATGCTTACAGATACTGACATAAAAGTGCTAATCACTTATTTAGAATATGATCTTAAAGTCATCGTAACAAAAAGTTTGAGTAATGGGTCTCCTCATAAATATGATAGCAATCCTGATGATTTGGTGATCAAGTTTTGTTTGAAAAAATATAAATTGAAACTTGAAATTACGGAATTGGATTGTAACATTATTACAATAAAGGAAACATCACGGAAACTACATGAACAAATTCAAGATATAGAAACTCGAATCAAAGAGTATATATGTACTTTTGAATTAGCGAATTATTGTGAATTACTTTTTTTTTTTTTTGTAATTTTGACTATTATTTTTTATGGGGGTTTTTTTTATTAGGTTAAAGACAGCTGCTAGTAAATATATTTCTCTTAAGCAGAAAACACTAGCAATGAAATATTTGCGAAAAAAACTAAAACTTGATAAAATTTTAGTTAAAAGAATAAACTCTTTGGAAGCAGTCGAAACAATCCTATTAAAAATTCAAGAAGCTGTATCTGATGCAGAGGTAAAAAGATTTTAAATTTTAAATTTCCTCCACATTAACTTCCAATTTTAATCAATATTTATTTCTCCATTCCTCCACATCATATAAAAAGATAATTGAAGGTTATAAAGCTGGGGCTGATGCATTGCAAAATACTTTGGTTATAAGTGGTCTAACAATTGATAAAGTAGATGAAACAATGGATCATCTACAAGAAGTTCTTGCAGATCAAAAGGAAATTGAAGATGCTATGAAATCAGGACAGGATTCAATACTTGTTGCAGCATTAAATAATGATGTTGACGATGAATTAGAAAAAGAATTAGAGAATTTATTAGCTGCAGAAGAAGAAAGAAAGGTGGTGAAAGAAGAAGTGAAGCAACCAATAAAAGAAAAAAATCAAGAGTTAGAAAAATTAGAAACAAAATTACATGACTTGAAGGTTGAAGCATCATCTATACCAGATAAAAATCCCAATTATATTACACCTTCTTCCCCTTCTTCTTCTTCATCATCGCACAAAAATAAACAAGCATTTTTGTTAGAACCATGATTTTGATTTATTTATTTATATAATTGATTTAAATTTTTATTAGTTTCAATAATAATTTCTATAAAAATTTCTATACATTAAAAAATGAAATCTAATTTTACGTTCCACCACTCATTTCTGTATCCTCTTCAATTCCTCGAATATATAGAACATTATTACATCTATTATATATTATATAAATTATATAAGTGATAATTGAAAAAAAATAATACATATCTTTTTTATATGTTTATATTTATACCACCTAATCAATACTTCACCAAGTGCACCAGTTGAATTGCCATCGATAAATTCTTCTGTGTTAGCAAGTTGTATATTCATATAAGAATCAACTGACATTAAGTACCCTTTATATTCCATGCCCCATTTCAAACGTACCATAACAGGTTTACCTGTTAATTCTTGTAAAAAAGGTTTTGGATTTACTGGTTGAAACTGAATTAAGTTTATTTTATATAAAATAATTTAATTAAAAGATGATAAAATTTAAACATACTAAAAAAATGAAAAATTTACCGCCATTATTTTCTTTTTGATAAAAAAGATGATAATAATAATGGTGTGCATATCATCTATATATATCAATCATGACGACGATCATCACCATAAGGCCCCCCTTTCAAATTTCAGACATGTATTAGTATGGTAAGGATCTGTCCGATCTGAGGCATGAACGGTTTGATTTTCTTCTTTATTTTTAATATCAATCTAGCAAGTCATAACACCACCAATGATTAACTGCTTTGATTGATGTGAAAATAAAGCAGACTGAATTTACGGCATGCCATCGAAAAGTCAAATATTTTATACAGTCAAACCTCGTCACGGAACCAGCCAAAAAAATCCGTTGTGACAAGAAATCCGCTATGGTGATGATTGTTTAAAATACCTCCAAGCAATATTACTTTTTTTGCTTCCTCCTCATAAATCATTTATTTTTCATGAGTTTGAGAATTAACAGTATTTAAATCACTCAAAGACGATGGCGTTTTTAGGCTTAGAGCAGGACTAATACACACAAATATAACAATCATGATTGTTTTAATATATTAATTTCTGATTGCATAATTATTTGATAGGTGAAAAATGAAAAACAATGTTTATTTATTTATTTATTATAATTAATTGAAAACAAATTTTCTAATGATTTTTTTTACATACTTTTTTTTTACAAGGCATTTTATTACATCAATTCTTTCAAGCCATTTTGGTTCAATAGATCTAACCTTTTGTACTCATATATCTACCTTTATGCAATCAAAATCCCACGAATTTATTTTTTTTAGATGTGATTTAAATTGTTTTATGAGTATCAAATATTTCCTTTGCATCTAGTAGCTCATTCACTTGACCTTTTTATACAAATTTTTTTCACCCTTCTTCATAGCCAAATCGTAAAAATCAGTAATTCAATGAATGGCAACACAAGAAACATATGTTAATGTAGACATGACAATAAACGCATCCGCATGTGGAAAAAAAAAGAAAGACATAAGGTGTAAAAATAAACACATAGTTACATAGGTACATGTTCTTAACAATTTCGAACACGTTGATTGACAGCAACAACAACCAATGATGGGCGTAGGAACATATGTAGGAACACATGTTAACATTGCAGCATGACAATAAACATATCCACGTAGCATGAAAAAAGGAAAGATGTATGGTGTAAAAATAAACACGTAGTTGCATAGCTACACGTTCTTGACAATTTAGAACACATTGAATGTTCACCAATGATTTCGTAACAAACATGTTGATTGATCAGATAATGGTTCACAGCCATGATCTCATGCACCTGAATCAAGAATCAACAGATAAATGTAGATCTCAAATTACAGTCACACCTGTCTATTGCATACCATATGTTTGCATAATCTGTTCATTTGCATAAAGGTAGCTCAGTCCCATATCAGGACTTATGAACTATTTGCATAATGTAAATGTGCATATGCATCCTGTTTCTACTAGGTCCCACTAATGTAAATATGCATATTCATACTATAAAAGGAAAGATCAATGACTAATTTTATTTTTTATTCAAAAAAAATCTTTAATATTGCTTTGTTTCATAGAATCAGAATAAATCTTTTTCATAATATTATTTACACTAGTTAATTTTTTAATTTCATCTGAACAGTCTCTAGGCTGCTGCAACAAGCATGCCATGACTTTCTCTTAGGCATCTAAACCTTCTTTAATGGAAATAATAGGTAACTCATATTCCTCATCATCTTCCTCATTATGATATTGTGTGTGTGCAATCTGAGTTTCCTAATTAATAGGTTGTTTATAGCTCAACACAGCCTACTTGCTGACTTACAGTCTAAGGTTAAATGACTTTTATCTTCCTGGATAAAAGGGTCCCTAGGTTCTATGTAGTTAAGAGCATAGTGGAAATTTGAAATGGTACACTAATTTTTTATATTGTGCAATGTAGCTTTACAATACATGGCAAACATTCTGGCAATAAAAAGTAAGTGATAAGCTGGATTTGAATTTGATCCGAACTTGATCTCCAATTTAGAGAGGTAACAACTATACACTGGCAAAGTTTCAGAAGCAATGAGTTCTGTACAACATTTAGCGTAACAACAAATTTCCACTATGCTGTAGCTAAGTATCTCTCAAAGGCGTCCCTTGAGATATGCCTCAATAATTAAAATGTTGGTTACTTGCTAGATGCAGCAAAGGTTTCCCTTTGTAGTTTATTAGTTAATTAAAGATTAATATTTCAGGGTAAAATATGTTATGTGTTTTATTAGCAATAATAATATTATTATTACAAATGTGTTAGGGAGTATTAATGATTAGATCAATAATTAAGAGATTATTATGAACATGATTCCGACTTGGTCTAAAACCAAGTCTTTTTATACCTCTTGAGGTATTACAAATAACATGACTTTTACTCTAGTTTATCCAATAAAATATGCTTATTAACGTAAAATAAAGATTTGGGTCAACTAAGCATTACAAAATGATAATTAATAATCTAAAGTAAATATTTGCATCAGCTGAATAAGTTCTTGAAGTATAAATATAGAAATATGAATATGAATAATTGTACATGTAATATTGCGCAATGTGTGGTGCAGTAGCTTCACAAAATATATGGTGCAGGACACCTAGTTCCTACAACTTTCTGCGCCACTGCGATAGATTTGGGAAAAATTCACAATCAAAAATGCAATAAAATTTTACAGTCACGTGTTTTAAAAATAGGTTTGCCACGTTGCATTCTCTTTATTGGTATCACGTGATAAAAGATCTGCAATACAGATTTCAAAATTTTCAATTCTTCCAATTCATTCATTTTTAATATAAAAATTTGTGTGTAACACGTCACTTTGGGGGATTAACATAGTAAATTTGTTAAAATTGTCCAACTTTAAGGCTTAATTCCTCCACAAAAACATGCCATATCAACAAAATGAAAATGTCATTTTGTAGAAAAAGGTCTTAGCTTCAAAATGTCATCTTGTTTTTTTGGTCACACACTTCCATTTTTGGAGGAGTCAAAGGATTTGCAAGACTAATAAAAGTTGTAGGGACTAGGTGTCCTGCGACTGATAATATTAAAAAATATAGAAATTATGTCGTTATCACGTGACTTACACAGTAATTTGGTTTGGTTGGATCAGCAAAGTGGGGACCTCACTATCTGTCCTTATTTTACTATCTCACAATATTCATTATCACCTTCTTCTTGGATTAATTGAATAATTGTTTCCTCATCCACAGGTTCTTCTATTTCACCTTCAACAGGATTCAAAAAATTTTCCATCTTCATGGGGTTTCTATACCTATAATAATAAAATCAATCAACATTGGAATTAAAATAGCAAAAAATTATTTTTAATACCTTAAAGTTGTAATAGCCTTCTCCATATCAGTGATTATTTAATTTTCTTGTTCTATTTCATTATTATCAAAATCGATAATATTAGTATGATTCCAACAATTGGCAATGGTATTGATTGTAACACTATCTCTTCAAGTGGATTTAATGAACTCGGACCTGAACACTTTACCAACACCCACCTTACTGACAGGACACTTTACCAACACCCACTTTACAACAAGACACTTTACCAACAGGACACTTTACCAACAGGACACTTTACTGACAAGACACTTTACTGACAGGACACTTTACCAACAAGTATTGTGTTAACAATTTGCCAAGGGCTGTGTGAAGACCTGGATAACTAGCTAAAAGGTTGGTTTTTTACAACAAGTTAAATCAACAGTTAATTAACTAATAACACCACTTATTATCCTTATTTTGCATCAAAAACCAGTTCAATCATTTACAGAAAACTTTATTAATTATTATTATTTTTATACACAAAAAAAAAATTTTATAACAAAAAAAAATTTTAAAATGAAATATTATGGGCAATGCCCTGAAGAAATTCTATAGTTGATCTAATGTTACGGTCATTTAATACTGTTTGAATTCCATATTTCAAGATTACGATCTTGTGGTTTCTGTGGAGGTTGTGGTGTTCCTTGAAAGACCATTTATACATCAAGTTCGACTTTACTTTGATTGTTGGTAAAGTGTCCTGTTGGTAAAGTGGGTGTTGGTAAAATGTCCTGTTGGTAAGGTGGGTGTCGGTAAAGTGTCCCAGACCCAATGAACTGTATAGCTTCCAAAACATTAAGTTTAGTAACCAGTTCATTATCCTCAAATTTTTTAAGAAGGTGATGTACAAATTGACAATGGTAATGCTTCTTAAAAGATGCAATGATTCCAGCATCACAAGGTTGAATTCTTGATGTGGAGTTTGGTGGTAAGAATTTAACCTGTGAATTTTTCAATTCTACCCCTTCAATTATATGACAAGGTGCATTGTCAAATAGCAATAACACTTTTCTACCATTCATTCTTTGATCAAATTTTCTTGACCATCTATAATTTAAGAATCAATAAACATGCTTTATAAAAGTAGTCATAAATTATTAAACATAAATTACTTACTCTTGAAATAATGCTGTTGTCATCCATGCTTTAGTATTTGCTCTATATGTAATGCAAGATTATTCATATTAACGTTTTTCATGCATCTGGGTTTTAAATATTTTACAATAATAAGAAGTGGAAGTTTATCAGTCCCATCAGCATTACAACAGAGCACAACAGTTGTTAAATGTTCCTTGTCCTCTTTTTTTCAAGTTGTTTTATTGCCAAAGTTGTATCAGATTCAAGCCTATATGTAATAATTAAATTCCATTAGCAAATACTAACACTTTAAATATTGTTTACGGTATTATATACTTGCCGAAAGAACAGTCCTGTTTCATCCATATTATATACACATTCAGGTCTAAATGAGTTGATGATTGCTTTTAAATCAGGAAGTGCTTTTTCTCCGTGCAATTGATATCTTTTCAAATTGTTTCAACAAATATAATAATTTGTTGTAGATATTATAGATATTAATAATTTAATATGCATAAAATATACTACCTGTTTTTAAAACTTTGAAGCCACCCAGAAGAAAATGTCAATGTATTGTCAGGAATATTAAGCAATTTTGCAAATGACTTGGCTTTTTCGGTTACAATCAGGTCTGAGAGAGGAATGTGACCTTGTGAACGCAGACACCATTCTTAAAGCACATGTTCAAGTTTGGGATATTTCGCATTACAAGATTTTTTCTGTAGTGGATTTGTTTCATACATGATGGCGAAATAGTTTTGTTTCGACAATAATTTCGAGATTAGGGTTCAAACATTTCTAATATACCCTAACAGGTTTCGAAAAAATCGAAAATCAAAATCAAAATTCGAAATTTGAAATTAATAAATAACTTTTTTTCATTTTTGCATTAATCATGCATGATGGCGAAATAGTTTTGTTTCGGCAATAATTTCGACGATTAAGGTTCAAACATTTCGAATATACCCTAACAGGTTTCGAAAAAATCAAAATTCGAAATCAAAATTGAAAATCGAAATCAAAATCGAAATTTGTAATCAAAATTCGAAATTCGAAATTAATAAATAATTTTTGCATTAATGTCTTTAAAGTGCCTTTATTTCAATTTTTTGAATTTCGATTTCGATTTTGAATTTAGGTTTCGATTTTGAATTTGAATTTAGATTTCGATTTTGATTTTGATTTTTGATTTTGAATTTAGATTTTGATTTAATTTCGCCAAGGGTATTTCGATTTCGAAAACTTGTGATTTTTTCGAAAGTTTCGAATTTTATCAAATGACTTTCGCCATCATGTATGATTTGTTTCATTACTTAAAAATTCAATGAATGCTGGAAATTGTTGCTTGATCAATTTTTACTCCAAATTCTTATTCACACCAATTAATCAATTCTTTTTTGTATCATTTTGCTTTTTTAAACAAATTTGATGACGTTGTTCATTGTTTAATGTAGCTTTCTTCATTATGGATATAAAGGATAACAAAATAATATAATAATGTTTGTGTAAAACCAAAAATTATTTTAATGAATCATGTTAAAAAATCTCGGATCAAATTATAAACCTCCTCCATGAGATTATCTGATGAAGCCGTTCATGTGGATATAAAAATTAATAATATTTTAGAAAAGGCTAACAACTTGACATTGGGTATGAATGGTTTTTATTTTATTAAATTTATTTGTTTGGTTGGAATTTTCGAAAACAGTTTAGGAGTTTCAAAAACAGTTTAGGAGTTTCGAACAGTTTAGGAATTTGGGCTCATTTTCTAAACCAGTTTAGAATGGTTTTAGTTCTAAACTCGTGAGTTTCGAAAGGCAACTCTACAGAAAACCATTAAATAAAGAAAAATTACAAATTATTTCATATTTATTTCTGTTCAAAGCACAGTATCTCTATCCTGATTTATGTAATTTAACAGCATTATAAATTGAAAATAGTAAAGAATTAATAATCAGTGATAAAATTTCTACATTAAAGCCTGTTTCTTTAGAAAAACAACACCATCTAAATCAAAATATGGGAGTCATAGCAATCATATATTTGGGTTTGGGTTTTTAGATAGTATAGCTTATTTAATAAAAAAATCACTTTTTGCAGAATTAAATTCCTCAACTATTGGAATATAATGATTGATGAAACTAATAGTGTCAATGGTAAATATTTTTAATTAAATTATATCATTTTGCAATTCAAATGAAATATCTTATTAACACAAATAAAAGATTGAATGCTTGTCGTGACATATTATGTAAAAATCGCTTTGCGTCATTGATGTTGATGAAAAAAGGGGTTTCAATTATTCTAAAGGGGATATCACAAACCACAAAAGCCTTTGAAATTAAATGATCTATAATTCCTGCATGTTAGAGGTTGGAATCGACTAAAATAGTCGACTATTTTAGTCAACTAACTTTTTTTTTAAACAACTAATAGTCGACTACTTTAGTTGTTTATTTAGTCGACTATTTTAGTTGACTATTTAGTCGACTAATACTAATTATTATTATTGTCTGGCCAATTATAAATGAAAACGTTTTTTGTGGTACAAAAAATTTTAATAATAAAAATAAATATGCGGAGTATCAATATTATGAAGAAGATGATAATGGTGGTGTTGGTGCTGGTGTTGGCGATAATTATCCATGCGAAATAATAAACATTGATACAAGGTCAAATCATTCCAACAATTCGTTGGCTTCGAGCTCAAGCAGTGGTTCCAGACCTTTAAAAAAACGAATTATAACATATAGCTTCGTATGGAAGTATTTCGAGAAAATTAAAGATTCAAATGGAGATGAATTTGTAATCTGCAAATTAAAAAAAAAACGTTAATATTAATAATAATGAAACAGAATGAATATTCTAATTAAATAGGATGTTATTCCCGTGACTAGCGTGTGACCATTTTGCGAAGCAATGGTTACACGCTAGTATTAAAAAAATTTAGTCGACTAAAAGAAATTTTGACCAACTAGTAGTCGACTAGGGATTTTTTAGACGATTCCAACCTCTAGTTGATAGTAATCCCACAGATAAGACTTATGATGGAATATATATATATATAATATGAAAAATTTGTTAAAAAAAAAGAAGCAAAAAATATTTACAAGAAAATTTGACCATATCCAATAAATCCGCACAAATTTTTGTCTCATCAGTGAGAATAATATCGTATACTGATGTATCCCATGCACCATGCGTGAAACCATATTCCCACCACGACACCGATCACCTCATTTGGAGAACTCCCTCCAATTCATTCACGGCCAGATGACCTGCAAATAGAGATGGGCAAATGGCGTATAGTTGAACACTATACGACACTATACGATACTTTACGTATAATGCGTATATATAGTACGTATAGTACGTATAGTAGTGTTGAAATTTGATTGGGTGATTTTCCAATGTAATACAAAACTGAATAATAATAATAATAAAATAATTTGGCTATTACGATAAGCATAAATCTTTAATTTATTCAACCTACACTTTTTTAGGTTTTTATTTATGAATCATTAATTATAT